GGCCTGCGCACCGCCATGCCGTTGTTCGGAAAGGGCAACGTAGCGCAAAAGGCAGCATCAGCAAACACGGCTGCCTCTACGCCGCTCACACCACCGGCAATCTCGGTAGACGAAGCGGACAGTCTTTCTGAAAGCGATTCCTCCGACGCTGACGCACCGCGAAAACGCCGCAAGCAACGCCGTCCCAAGAACGCCAGCAGGTGGGGCTTTGAGGAACAGCGTGTCGCACCTCCCACTCTGGAAAGTAGCGCATCAAGCAAACAGCAAGATGCGGCCCAGTGGGCTTACTACCAATTCTCACCTGACTTGCCGCCTTTCATGCCAGCTGGTCTCAAGCCGCGCGACATGACAGGCATGGGAACTTGGAGAGGCATTGCTGCTCGTGCCGGCGCCATGGCCAATGCATCCGCCTCACCCTCGGTACGCGGCTCTACAGCAAGTTTCGGCTCTCTGATGTCGTTGCAAAGCCAAGTCGAAGGCGAGCAGCCGCAATCGAGCGGACCCGTGTCTATGCGCGAGTTGGCAGCGCAGGCGCGTCGAAAGATGGAGGTGGCTCAGCAAGCAAGGGAAAGGCAAGCAAGCTTGTTGGCCCAACGCAGCTTCATGCCGATCGACATTCATGCGATGGCATCTGACCATGCGATGAGTGAAGCAGCAGCAAGCATAAAGGGTTCCTCTGCGTCGTCCATATTCTCATTCGACTCTTCTCTGCTCCCGGCCGATGCGGACAGGATGAGTGTAGCTTCCGCGTCGACCGCTGGTATCGCGCGCGAGAGGGTCGACTCGAGCGTGAGCACAGAGACGCGGGCCAGCACTGGGACTTTGGTGGGCCTCGGTATACAAGCGGACGCGTCGGTTCCGCAAGCACCGGCCAAGAAGTACGTCGACATGTGCATGCAAACCTCACCAACCTCGTCACCGGACCCGACTCCGCCAGCTTCGCCAGTCTTTGCGCCGCCGCCCTGCCAGCGCAAAGAGATGGGCGTCGGTGAGGAGCCGCGTCGCACGGTCGGCGTCGAATCGATCACGCCACAGAGGCGGGCGCAGTTGGTGTGGTCAGATGATGAAAACGCCGCAGCGGGTGGA